TTTAGATGCTATTCCAAGATCACGAGGGATTAACATATTATAAGCGCATACGTTGCAGATAATAAGTTACATGTATTACTATTAACATTATGAAAATCCAGGGATGTTGAAAGTCCAGTCTGGTTCAATCTGGTCTATTTTAGTTAAGTCCTTGTTTGGTCTATTACAGTCTCTAATCTTAAGACTAACTGTGGTCCATTAGTCTAAAATTAGACCACATAGCATCCCATATTAAAAAAAGTTTCGCTTTTTATGGCGATACTGAATATGACGATACTGAACAATTTCTTCGCTGCAGCCAATCAGATTGCAAGAAAATTGTTTATTTGGAACTTTTGTAGAACCAAATGCAGAATTAATGTTGTAAAACGTTATCTCTCTAAAAAAGGAAATCATCAGCATTGCAGAAATAGATTTATTTCGAATTTAACTTAAACGTTAACTTTTCTGTTTGTTTTTTTTTTTTTTAAACTAACATTATATATGGCTTGGAGAAATGATATTCGCGTAGTTATCTCAATAGGTAATGAATAATGTTATATAATTTTTTTAACATGAATTAAAAAATTATATACTAATCTATTATTGATACATATATTTATATATCGAATTTAAGATTTTGGAACTACTTATTCGGTAAATACATGATATTATTTCAAAGTTAATAAAATTGATCTTTATACTTAAAAATTAAATAATTTAAAAAAACATAGGGATTTGCTTACGCAAACCGACAAAATCCTGAATTGATAACTAATGAGACATGGCCTGATCTAATAGGAGCTATAAAAACAAATACAGTAATTCAATATGATACAGATTTTAAAGAAATAAAAGCATGGGGATTACCTGCATTAGCACCACGTCCTAGAAAACGTCAAAAAAATTTAAATTGTAAACCTGTGGAACGTTTCAAATTACATTTGGGGGATTTACCAGAGTCTGAGATGCCTCCATTACCTAAAGAATTAAATTATAAAAAAGCCATTACCGATTATCTAACTGAAATGGGTCCGTTATTTTTTTTATTCAATTGTTTTGATAGAGATTCTTATAATATTAATAAATAATTTTAAATTATTTTTATTAATTTAAATAGGAAAGGTAGCGTTGACATTCTTCAATATATGTTGTTAAATTTTACGAGTTTAATATTATTTTAATAATATAATTTTTTTTGTTTTTTTTTTTTTACAGTTAATAAAAGAAACAATCAATACTCGATGGCCAAATGTTGATTTCTTTAATAATGTTTTAATTGTTTTTACCGTTCCTGCTGAATATTCGGAAAAATCAAAAGGGATATTAAGGCAATGCATTTATAATGCAGGATTAAGTAAATTTTTATTTGTTAATTCTTACTATTTTTTTTTTTTTTTTTTTATAATATATTTTATTATCTATTAATTTTCATTAAATTTATTTTTTTTTTAAAAAAAGTTGGCAGTTCAACCTCAGAAAAATTACAATTCTCTACTGAACGTATGTAAAATAGATTTATCAGCATTATTATTATTATTTTTTTTTAATTTGATAATTACTTACTTTGTAATATCAAATTAAACTTTTTTTAGCCGAAGCAGCTGCCATACATTGTATGCGAGTATTGGATGAACATTTCCTTACAGATAATGAAACATCTTTTTTAATTGTTGATTGTGGAGGTGGTACTGTAGATCTTACAACAAGAAAATTATTACCAAACAGAAGATTAGGAGAAGTTACTGAACGTACTGGTGATTTTTGTGGTAGTACATACGTTGATGATGAATTTATTAAATTTATAAAACAAAAAGTTGGTGAACCAGCAATGAAATTATTAGAAGAACAACAATATGGTCAATTACAATATATGGTACAAGAATTTTGTAGACGTGTTAAAATGCCATTTACTGGTAATCAAAAAGATTTTCAACTTTTTGAACTTGATATAGAAGAAGTATGTCCTATATTAAAACAATACGTAAATGGTTTAGCAAGGCAAAGATTAGAGAAAGATGAATGGATAATTGAATTAACATTTGATGATGTTAAATCTATGTTTGATCCTGTCGTTCAAAGAATTATTCGTTTAATTTCTGGACAACTTAGTGCTAGTGGTAATATTGCTGTAATGTTCTTGGTTGGTGGATTTAGTGAATCAAAATATCTTCAAACTTCGATCAAACATACATTCAACTTTATTAAAAATATTGCTGTACCTAAACAACCTCAAGTAAGTATTTTATTACCTTTCTTTTTACTTCTATTCCTAATATATTATTATTAATAGAATTACAATATATTTTATAGGCAGCTATAGTACGTGGTGCTTTAGAGTATGGATTAAAAATGGATATAATAAAAACTCGCGTTCTAAAATTTACTTATGGAATAGAAACACAGAATATATTTAATCAAGCTGTAGATCCGGAACATCTAAAAATTGATGGAAATTATATCTTTAAATTTCATCGATTAGTAGAAAGAGGTCGAGAAGTTGGGGTTGATGAAACATTTGGTGATGTATTTAGACCATTAGAACATACGACATGTTTAAGATTTTCTTTATATACTTCAGTTAATTTAAATGAAACTTATTGTGAAGGATTAACTAAATTAGGTGATCTTATAGTTGATATGCCAGATACTCAATATGGAAAAGAAAGACCAGTAGATTTTAGATTAAAATTTGGACAAATGGAAATTACTGCTACAGCTAAAAATCAATTAACTGGTCAACAATATGAAGCTGTTTTTAAATTAGAGTTTTAAATTTTTTTTTTTTTTTTTTAGATTTTATACAAATTTTATTGTTTTTAAATATGACAATAAATTTATTAAATTTTTTTTTTTTAGCATTCATATTTCAATTTTCACGTTATTATTAAATACTGATAAAAATGGTTTTTAATTTTATGTAATTAATATTCTGGACATGTCTATATAAAAAGCCATCTTATATTTAAGTTAGAAAATAATTATTTATGTATTTGATTCGATTATTATTTTTTTTTAAATGACAATTGGGATTCATTTAATTAACAATTACAGATTCATTTATTATTATTATTATTATTTTATATATCTATTAAGAGTGATTTCTGTGTTTAACATTACAGCGGATTGGTGGAATTGACCTTATAAATTTGATATTTACTTAGAGTGCGGTACATTATAATTAATCAAAACTATGTAAAGAAATCTATCCGTATTAATAAATTTTTAAAACTTGTCAATCAGTCGGAGTATCAAATTCATAGCGATAGTAAAGAACAAATTTACATATGAATTAAAAAATAAATTTCACGTAAAATAATTTAAGAGGTGGTTCGGCGGAACTTAATATAGTTTTTCTATAATGTAGGAATGGGGATCGCTTACATACAAAAGTATTTGTTTACGAAGGAAACCTTTCTTGAGCTTCTAAGGAAAATTGTAGATACGATTATTCTCGTTCTAATGGTAGTAAAATCATCACAAATCGTCCAGTAGATTCCGAGATATTGGTATTTATTAATCGTTTACTCTAGGGTTTTTTTTTTCTTAAAAACAGAAAGCACACGGAATTCCACTTACTATATAAGGCAACTACTTAACGTTAGCGTTAGC